CAGCAACAACAGCAACAACAATGGCACCAACAACAACAGCACTAACAATTGCACCAACAACAACAGCAACAGCATTGACAACAAATAAAAAGAATACAGCCATGTGCACAAAGAAATACGCAAGAGTAAAGTTTACGAAAAAGGAGAGAAGTCTGAAGGCAAGATTTTTTTTCGCGACATTCAACATTGCTAACACACTTACACAACCTTACCGTTTTCACCTTGAGATGACACAGCTGTTATACCATCTGAGTTTAATGTCTTCAAATCTGTCTCGTGAMAAGTATCAGCGTTAACATCTTGTTGATCTTCAGCTAATTTTGGTACAGTCGTAACAATGTTCTGTCGATCGGTAGCTTCTGAAGCTACTAGAGGATTTATACTGTCAGGTTTGAATGGAGTACACAAGAAGTCTTCAGTAGGTGACGCAGAATTGTTGTACAATTCTTGGTACCTATGATAAAAAATATGGTTAAATTAAGAACATTGTTCGATAAAATGTCGTACTTAAGTAGCATTGCCATTCGCATTGGCAGGTACTGTATGGATGAGGAAAACCCAGGCATGGCTAACTCACAGATCAAAACTGAAACAACATCCAAGTTGATCAAAGTCCCGGCATTGACCCCTGAAACAACCTCTTGGCTGATCTAAGTCAGGGCATGGCTAACTCACAGATCGTACCCTGAAACAACCTCTGGTTTAAATCAAAATCAGCGCACAGCTAACTCAAAGATCAAACCCTGGAACAACCTCTGGGCTTATCTAAGTCAGGGCACGGCTAACTTACAGATAAAACCCTGAAACAACCTCTGGGCTTATCTAAGTCATGGCACGGCTAACTTACAGATCGAATTGATATTTAGTTAATGTTGGGTTCATACATTGCATGATACCTTCAAAAGTAGAGGCTTATAATAGATCTAAAAACAGTAGACTAGCCTAAAAAGGGGGGGGAGGGAGACTTTAAAATGTGTTGAATATTACCTGACAACGACAACAACAACAACAATAATTTATTTGGCACTGTATACTAAAGGTACATGCTGTGTTTTTCCGAATAATTAGAAAATATAAAAGATTTCAATTTGTAAAATGGCAAAATACATTGAATACAAAATACCTGAAAGTGTAGGGGCTAGCCCCACTACCCCCCCCCCCCCCCCCCCCCCCCCCCCCCCCTCCCCCCAACTCTACTTTGAGCCCGTTTCTGTGGTCCTTGGCTTCTGCAGAAGGACAAAACCACCGGGAGCCCCCTCATAACAGATTGATGAACGCCTTATACTCACTTCTCTAGCATTTCCAAGTTTTTGAAACAAATTCCATGACACCGACCCATAGCAAACTCTGTTACAATACAAGGCGGTTGCACTTGTTTACAAGAATCTCTGGCTTTATCCAAGAGGGGTATGTGTGGAGAAGGTCGTGCGCCAGAAGCAGAACTTGTTGATTCCAACTCAAAAACACTTGGTAGAATTAGGTTTCCATGGTAATACACTGTCGAATCAGAAACACATACAGGGACCACTGACTGCTTTGTCCTGGTGGAAGTGACCTTTAAAACCTGAAGTTATAAAGTAACCTTTAGTATATGGCAACGACTTGCCTTAGAGCCGTTATTTATTGAGCTTGGTTTTTTTTCTGATGGCAGTGACCTTTAAAACATGAAGTTATAAAGTAACCTTTRGTATATGGCAACATCTCCTCTTAGAGCCGTTATTTATTTAGCTTGTTTTTTTTCTGATGGAAGTGACCTTTAAAACCTGAAGTTATAAAGTAACCTTTAGTATATGGCAACGACTTGCCTTAGAGCCGTTATTTATTTAGCTTATTTTTTTTCTGATGGCAGTGACCTTTTTAAAAAACATGAAGCTATAAAGTAACGACTCTACTTACGATTTTTGGATTATTTAATACTGATTTTGCCTGGTGAGAAAGATAAGAGAGAAAAATCATTGGCTTGAGCCACAGTCAAAAGTTCATAATCTTAGTTATAGAATAACAGTTTAAATGGATGTTCAATAATGAAAGCACTTGCCTTGAATGTCTTTAAACCAGCAGACTGAGCCATCTTGGTGTGTTTCTCCGTTGTACAGACATATAATGATGACTGAAATGAAACAGGAGATGAGGCATGTTTCAAATCGTATGGTGGCAAAAAAACATTTTTTTCCAATTTGTATCCATCATATAGTTTTTCCTTTATTATGATACAATGTTTAAATAAAAACCCTGCCAAGGCTCTCCAGTTAGTTCATGATCTTCTTGACCTATTATTTCAAAACTCAAAGCATTACACTGCAGTTTTGACTACGAAATCAGACATTTCAACGGCTTGTTGTGAAATCAGTTTTTTACTGCCGCCTGTCAAGAACATAAAAAGTACTGACTGATTATTTTTGATCGACAGCAGCAAAAAACTAAATTTCAGCGTGCAGCTCGCAACAACCGAGTTTGCAGAATATGGAAAACCGCAGTAAAATGTTTAATAAAAAACCTGGCAATTAGTGTAAGCTAAAGCAGCCAGATGGCTGCTCTTCTGTTTCAATTTTTACCTAAATGTGAACTTGTCCAGAAAATTGTCAAGCCCCATCAGGGAGGGAATTCGAAAAAGAAGCTCCCCTACCCATATGTACAGTAATTTCGAATTTTTATTCACGCAAACCTAATTTAAWTTTTTCTCCGACCCCCCACCCTCATGGAATTTCCGATCTCCTCCATGGCGGAGTATGGATATTTTCTGGAACCRCACAAAACAAAATAAAAAATATCTTTATTTAAGTGTGTAGTCGTTCTAGCGCTTTCACACTAATTGGGGACACTTTTTGCTCACACACACTACCACTACATTCAATATTCTATGCACACAATGCTCAACTCACATGTTGGTTTTTACGGAGGGAGGAAACCGGAGAACCCGGAGAACCCGGAGAACCCGGAGAAAACCCTCATAGCATATAGGAGAGAACAACACATCAAACAAACTCAATTCACATGTGGCGACTGCAGGGCTTGAACCAGCGACCCGACCCATTGGACTCACAGTGGTGAAAGACAATGTATTAGCCGCGAACGCCACCCATGCTACCCAAAGAAAATACATCTAGAAAATTATTTTGCATTTGATAAAAATATCATATAGGTGTTTACCTTGTGAGTGATGTCAATAGTGTGAAGTCTCTGTATCCATGCTACCTGCCCTGGTTGTGGTGGTATAATAAATGGGTATTTCAGGAGTGAATAGTCTACTAATGCAAAGTATAAGGGTGTGTGTACCTAAAAAAGAAACAATAACAACTTTCGTGTCAATCAGAACACATGGTAACAGTAAATTTGATAAATGTACTTTTAGGAATACAATTTAATAAGAAAACTAGTTGTAAAAGACAATGTTTTGCTGTCATCTCGACAACATCACAAGGTCTAATGAAAACTTCCTTTAGCTATATTTACATAAAGTACAGTTTACAGTTTTCATTAGACCTGATGATGTTGTCGAGATGACAGCAAAAAGTTGTCTTTTACAACTAGTTTTCTTATTAACAGTAAATTGATGGGAAAACAGTTATACCTTTAAAATGCTTTTACTGTATGTTCTCATGATAGTTGAAGGCAATTTGATGCTGTGAGCCATGTTACGTGTGCAATCTGCTGCACACAATATTGCTGAAGTAGAAATCAATCCTAATTCAGCAATTCTGCCTGCAATATTTTGCACAATATTGCACCATATGTTGCGCCTTTAGAGTTTTCTTTAATGTGCAGTCCCAAAAATTATCCATATCCCCCTCACGGAGGAATTTTTTTAAGACACCCCCTACCCCCCAGAAATCCCAATTTTCTTCCATACAAACTCTGTAATTTTTGTTCTTTCTCTGATCCCCCTACTCTTCGGAAATTCCAAATTCCTCTGTGGGGTGGGTATGGATGATTTCTGGAACTACACATTAATTTTTTTACACTACCTTCAATGCAAGTTGTCTCAACCTTTCTTTGGCATGATTAAGGCATGAACAGCATTCAACATAYTTAGATGTTTCTTTGCCAATACCAGCATCTTCACCTAGTCCAGCTAAATGCCAGTCAAGATCATTATATATAATCAACATAAACTTGTTCTTATAACAAATATATTATACTAAATCTTTATTCATTTGTTTGAATTACAAGGGAYAAGACACCATTTGTTTGCTCTATTGCTACTAATGAAATCTTCAACCTTTAAATTATTTTTATCAATACCCTGGAATATTACGATTATTATACTCTGTGCTGATTAAAATTGGAGCATGCCTTACATATCAAATTGGAATTGGGAGAATAAACCCCGGGGGGGGGGGGTACTCCGCCAGGATTTGGGTAGGGGTGTTCCACTGGGATTCTGAAAGGGGTCATGGCTGCCATCACGTGATGGTGCAAAGCCTCTATAGCAAAGTATGGATGGCATAACACTTGCCTCACCAGTACGACCCWGGTTGGAATTTTGAACCTAGTGTCATGTGGTTGAGTTGCTTGTTGGTGCAAGTAACATGTACCTTGGCTGCAAGAATGCTGGAAGTTACCCAGGAAGATTACTCTGCCAGTTGTATTAACAGAGTACGACCCTGGTTGGAATTTTGAACCTAGTGTCATGTGGTAGAGTTGCTTGTTGGTGCAAGTAACATGTACCTTGGCTGCAAGAATGCTGGAAGTTACCCAGGAAGATTACTCTGCCAGTTGTATTAACAGAGCTCCATGTGTTAATGAGGGTGGAAAGATTTTCTAAATTGGATGGATCATCATCAGCTTTCTCAGGACTTAGAACTTCCATCTGAATCATCAAGGCTGGGATTTCAAACTGAAAAGTTAAATCATTCAGCACACAGTAAGACAGTGTAATTTGAATATTAATTTATTGCAAGYATAGATCATTATAATAGACCTCGTCGGCTCTGACGTAATGTTTTCCCATTTCAGATCACACCTCATTCCCTAGAGTATCATTTCTTTGTTTAAGGTTTGTGCTCGGTTGCACATGAGAAGACATAGGAATATGAATACAACTCAAACAAAGAATTTTATTCTCAAATGTCTGAAACTAGTACCATTAAGTGGGCCTAGGGGACACGAGTGAAAAACGCCTGTGCATGCTCTAATTCCTTATGCAAATTAGTCAAAACATATGTAAATTTGACTTTCAAACATGCCTGATAAATTGGACTTCACAAAATGCCAAAACTTAGTGTCCATGCTTGAAACTTAAGGCTAAATCTTTCATATTGTGTTATTTAATACAGTATCTTGGTCTGACAAAAGTATACTCGCAAAATGTTTTGTATACTCGGAGAAAACAAACATTTATTTTCTCACTCAAACTCTTCAAAATTCTTAGAAAACGTGCTGAAATGTAATAGCATGCACAAACGTAAATTCTCTAGTGTCGGCCTAGGGTTCGGTGTGCTAAACATGAGATACTGGTCATGCATCCCTAGCATCGTACATGGAAATTACCATGGCAAATGAATAAATTCATTCCAAATGGATACTCATTGGAACCATCGTGTGATTTATTTTATAACAAATTTTTCATAAAAGTCACTAAAATTTTTTTTTTGCTTTTTCCCAAATTTCTTGAAAATAAAACTAAAATGTGGAGTTTGAAGTTATTAAATGACAAACAACTTTGGTGTAATTGCGCTATGGTTATTAAGCACTGACAATAAACACTGACTCCAGACATATTTTAGGTGTTCATGGTTTTCTTGGTTTAACTCTGTAATAATAGACCGTTTTCAAGTTCTAAATTACAACTAGATGAAAGTCCATATGAGATATCAAAACATTGGTATTGTTTGAGTTGCACAATTGCTTTTTTTTRCATTAAAGTTGATTTTTGTAATAAAGTCGAACTTGTAAGTTAGTTGTTCGTCAAGGAATAAGCTGTACCATATTTCCGGAAAGGGGAGAGAGTTTATTAGGGGCTGGGCTATAAATGTTCCTGATCTTTGGAAATTCATAATGATATCATTTTCATCCATTATAACTGTGTTCCTTGATTACAGACTCATTTACTGTACACAGGGTTAGCCTCGTATCAGTGTCTAAATATTCACAAACAACAATAGGTAAATTAAAGAATGCACAACTTCAATTGCAATACATACACTGAAACTCCACGGACCTTGACTGGAACACGTGAATATTCTGCACAAAATTGAGGCTAATCCTGTGCAAATGAGTCTGTAATCAAGAAATACAGCTGTTATTTGGAACTTCACACTGGTCTATTAGACAAACCTTGAATGGACTTTCACAAGACAACCCTATCTGTAATCTAGACACCTCAAAGCCCTCAGATTCACAAGGAGCATCTGGCAATAAAAGTAAAAGAAAATTTTGCTAAGGATATTGGATAAGACTTGTTCTAAAACAGATCAATACTGACAATATTGATGAAAATGACTTTTTTTACCTATTTTCTCTTCTTCAAACCACTGACAAAGCTTTCTTTCCTTCTCCAAGGGATTAAACTTGGAYATTATCCTCTCACCAAGGAACACTTGTGCTATGTTCCATTCTCTTGCCCAGTTACACTGAAGATGGCCATGGCTTGGATTGACCAAGAGCTCAATACAAAGGAGCYGGCAGTCTGGTACCTTCAGAGTATAGAAATATATATAGAGATTGTCACATGTTAAGAGCGTGATATGGTTTTTATTCTCGAGTTAATTGCATTTCATATTGCGAACGAGCGAGTCTGCCAGCAAGTGAGTGATATCATATGGAAAAAAGTGAATAAAAAAGATATCAAGCTCTTAGCATGTGATAGTTTGTTTATTACACATTTGAGTCGATAAAGGACAAAGTTTCCAGTTCACCGTGAAGTGGTATCGTATCACTTCACTGATATGGTCTTTATTCACGGCTTTACACAAAACCGCAGTAAATAAATCCTGCAATACTGTGACTAGTTTACCTTGGTTTTGATGAGGTCGATATAAGATGCTCTTGTGTGCCTGAACTCATTTTCATCATCAAGAACAACACTTTGACCCTAAAACCACACATCAAAACRAGCTGTAAATAATGCTCAAAATTATGATAAATTTTGATATATTAGGATGGAAAAAAATCTTCACATTTCAAAACTTATGGATAACCTGAAACATCCTCTAGGTTATGTAAATGATGATGTCTTAAAATGTTCAAAGCTAATATAAAGTGAAACAACTCGATCACTGCGCTTGAGATTCCATTTTAGTTTTGAACATTTTACAGTCAAAACAGCTCTTGAAAGCTTACAGTATACCCTCCTACTGTAGGTTCCATTTATGCTTTCATTTTTCAAATATATATATGTTATTTACCAGCCAGGGTGTCCAGATAGGGAAAAACTGTGCCTGAGGTCTTGAATATACAGACCGAGGGCGTTAGGCCAAGGTCCGTTTTCAAGACCGAGGGCACACGGTTTTTCCCTATCCGGACCGACTATAGGACGGTAAATAACTTATTTATTTTTTCATGTATTTTTTTTACTTGTTTTTGCAATTGTTTTGTTTYGTTGTTTAGTGGCAAAGGATAYCGGTCCACAAGCGTGGGCAGATACTGACAAAATACCGCCTGCTCAAAAAGCCAATCAGAACGCATGATTTTTTAGGATACCAGACCGGAAAAAGTGATGAAATTTATTATTCTTTCTGATAATACCAAGAATAGGGATTTGATTATAATAACTGATTCAAAACTCAGCTATTTCTGACTAGATTATGGTGTTCCTATATCGAATAATAATCCAATCAGTAGAGAATTCCAGTTTTGAATTGGTTATTATTTTGAATCTTCTGTCTTCGTATCCATATCAAACATTGACAGTCGTATTTCTCTGTGTCTGTTGTCTGCGAGGCAGACCCATGAGTTAGCATCATCCCCGTATCCTTCCTCGATTTTCCAAGGTTTTTCTTTTTTTACTTGTCTTTTTTTTCTTTTTTATTCTTCTTCAAAAATGTTCACGTCGAATTCGTTATGAAACGACGGCCTTTTTGTTTGCCGCTTTTCATCACAATGCAAATATGGAATTGATCATACCATATATGGAGTGAGCTTTCTCTACTCCAACTTCGACACTAACATACAGTATAGAGTAAAGCTTGATATGCTCGGAAAGAAAACTAAATTTCTATACTTGAATAATGAAACCATTAATGGAATCTAGGGGGTAAGCTGTAACAAATCTTCTATGACAAATACGTAGCAGTATACAGTTAATGGGAATCTATTACAGATTTTAATTTGTTAAATAAATTATCTAAATATTCATACCTTCTTTAAAATGGTCACAATTTTAAGTATCAGGCTTCTCAAGGTAATGTCAGGTTTAGAATCAAATATGGCACTTGGGCACACACGTAGGTGAGTGGYTTGAAAATGCTTCAAATAAAACAGGGTTTTACCCTACAATATAAAAACACTAGTTAGTAGGCTGCATTAGCTTGATTATAAAATAACTATATCTAGCCTTGTAATAGCATTTTAATATCATTAATTATTTATAAAAGATTTGAGATATAACAGGAGCAATAAAAGGCTGGATAAAGTATTTGAGATATAAAGTGTGCTTTGATAAGCTGGTTATTACCTTGTTCACTAGAGGATAGAGAGATCATGTGCAAAGCATTAGGGAAACTACTGGCCCTAAGCATTTTTGGAGCTTGAAACCACGAAATAAACATGGTAGTAAAGTGAAATTGTTTTTATTCTGACTTCTTTTCCATATTTCTGCTTCTTGTAGGCACGTATATTATTTTGGTACCATTATATTTTAGTTAAAAGAAAGCAGATACGCAAAATTTGGGATACAGTGGCAAAACAGCTAAATGCACTGTGATTGGCAGAAATAAAATTCACCGCTGAGCTTGACACCCTTTGTCAATATCGGAAGAAGAAGGAGGGATGCCTAGAGGGGTGTTGGGGTGCTCAGTGGTGAAACTATAAGTGGTTCACAAAATTCAATATTTTATCCTTAGAAATCTCCAAATCTTTAAGGAAATCTTGRGCAATTTGATATGATTCACATGGGTTCACAAGTCCCCACTGAACATCCCTACTTGAGCACCTTGTGCATTTCAAGAGTGCAAGGGGTTTGGGTGCATGAGGAGATAAAATTAATGAGTGTTAAAATAATCCCTAACCTACTAGGTTAATATGATATGTATTTCATATAAAACAATTTTTTTATGAATATGTTTCTTTGGGCCAAAGGTTTATATACGAAAAGAATTACTAGAATTTTTTTGAGTAAGATATCTTACTCAAAAAACTTCTAGTCATTCTTTTGGTATATCATAACTTTTTCGCATCAGTGAGTGCGAAAGGAGATATAGAGGATATTACATAGGCGCAAGGATACAAAATTTATCTTCGAGTGTTGAAAAGGTCTCTCAGCGAATGAGTGAGAGATTTTCAACATGAGAAGATAAATTTCATTTCTCCAAGCACCCATGTAATATTCTGTTTATCATATAATTATCCATAAAATCAACTTAACAAGCTTTTTATTATTATAAAAAAAATTTATGCATATAAACTAATAGCTTAAATACACATGGTAACGATATTTTCACATGTGAAAATAACATGTTAAAAATATCAGTTTTTCGAAAAAGAGAAATATAGGTATTTTATGGATAATTATATGATAAATTGATGTTAGCCCTATCATTTATATCTCGTAGGATTGAATTAGAATTTAGTAGTTAATCTTTGCGAAGGGAGAAAAAACCGGAGTACCTGGAGAAAAACACTCGAAGCACAGGAGAGAACCAACAAACAACTCAACTCACATACAACACTGAGCTTGGCGAGGCTCRAACCGGAGTTGCCTTGGTGAGAGGCAAGCGCGCTCACTCCTGCGCCACCCGTGCTTCCCATGCTGGCCCTCAAGGAATGAGGGCCACAGGTTTGTTAGCCACTGGCTATTAAGTGCTACCCTCGTGAAAAAAGGACTTTTTTTATTAAAATCCTAACTGCCTGAATACCCCCAACCCAATGCAATAAAACCTTATACAGCAGATATAATGCACATGTTTTAATTTATTGTGTGCAGGGGCAGATTGAGGGGGTGTCTTTAGGTGTACCCCAACCCAAAAGCTCTTTGTTATTTGGGGGGAGGGGGGTACATAATATATAAGTCTTGATCTTATTTATTATTTCTGTTTCTTCAATCTTCAGTTTGACTCAAGATTGAGTCACATGAGATTAAATCAAAAAATAAATCTAAGATGAAATTAAATAGGTCAGATCGGGATTGTTGATGACGCCACTATATCATTGCTGTTTTCATTTCGGGCACCCCCCTTTTCTGGATCCCCTCCTGGTGTACACTGTAGTTTGGATTCTAAAATAAACTAAATTGCCCTATTTCACTATGACATCACATCAAAACAATCTATTGTTTACCGCCATTGGCATTGCTATTCCAGACAAAAATTGTGACGTGCACTTTGCAATAGACTGCCGCCAATCAAACATGTTGACGTCAATTACACGCGTTTGGATCGGCCCAGATAGGCCTGGTGAGTGTGGCTCATAATACTTGTAAACAATCGACAAGTTTTGGTGCCTTTTGAATCACACACGCAAAGGATCATGGTCGTTGGATGAGGTCAAATCAACGCAAATTCACTGAAAATTGTTCTAAAACCCGTATCAATCCACGAAGAGAAGTAGAATAGCCAGCAAACGCTCAGAAYATTTTTTAGTACATATTAACACATATTATAGGGTTATTCGTTCTTTATATTATACGTTGTAAAGCCSATTAAATTTTAATAAATGGGTTTTCTGTGTCGCAGATAATTTTTGATAAACAGCCGAGATTTTTAAATTAACATATTTCATTTAAAAATCATTTAAAAAAACACTCAAAATTTCTACAAAGTCAAAAATACAGGAATTCGCTTTTCTAACGCTGCTACGTTTGAATCAGAGCCTAATTTGACGAATAAAAGCACCGAATCGTCGAATTTTTTAAGAAAATGCTTTGAGAAAATAATATTTTCTATCGCGAGCTAAATGTCCTTCTCAAAACTCGTGCTAAAATCATACTTACCGCATAAGGAGGTCCATATAGGAAAACGAACTCTACTCCCATAAGTTTTATCTACATATTTGGCTGTAGTTTTAGTTAATCTTGTAAGAAAAAGGGAGGTTAAATAAGACAATAAAACAAGCTAAGACAAGTTGTTTAGTCAGTCAGCCATCTTGGATAGGTACCACAGGGAACCCACTCTAGGCAAGTTCTATTTTCATGGTGCAAATGGCGACGTCACAAATGGCCACATTCTCACATTTCAGGGCCGTAGCCACCGGTACGGTTGGTCCGTTTTCAACCGAACCAACTTTCAGGGGGGGATTTTTAAAAATTAAAAAAAGAAAAGAAAAAAGAGAAAAATCATYGAAAAAAAGATTTTWAAAAATGATTAGAAGAAAAATGAATAAACACTTCTCACGTGATCCGATGTCATTAATTCGCAACATTCAAATGAATACATCCTAAAGAACGAGTCAAGAAAAAGTACTTTTGCAACATTCAAAATCTGAGTACTTTAGGATGGGTTTAAAAAGATATTAAGTGTAGGAGGCTTTCACTAAACTTTTCCTTGCTCCTCTCCACCTACCCCCCTAGCCCTCCCCCTCCCTTGAAAACCGAACCAATCAAAAGTTCGTGGCTACGGCCTTGCATTTAGCGGGATCGCCACAGGAAACCCCCGGAAAGGAAAYAAAAGTTAAATTAAATCACAGCACATCGAGCATTTTTACTCATAAAATGAAGGTAAACAAACGAAACTCTATTTATTTCACGCCCCMTTGCAAGATGGCTGCCGCAGCGTCAAAGTAGTCCATTTTCATGGGCCACGTTAGCCTCCTCCGCAGTCTGCCCAATATATTCCCTGTGTTGAATTTTATGGCAGAGAAGACCTAGGAACGAGAGAAAAGAGGAGGAGTGAGGACGAGGGAGTGAAAAAGCGTCTTTTTGTCCTCGCCGCAGGAAGCTCAAGACGCAAAAAGAGCCAAGAAGATGCCTACGGAGGAGGCTAGGGCCGCGTAGCACCCTAACAGACTAAGATTGGAAAATACATGAGACAAGTATGGGATAAGGAAAAAGTAATGGAGGGGGGTGGGGGCTATAGCCTCCCTGCCCCACCGCTCAGCGGTCCCTGATTTTATCACTGGTTTTGAAACATTTCGTATTATTGTATAACATATACCTAAACATCTGTATTTTTAGTACAAATTAATACAAAATTGATTTAAAAAATTAAAAAAAAAAAAAAGAAAAGAAAGAAAAAGAAATCGCTCCTTTCAGTGCAAGAGTGTAGTTTTTTATTAAATTTTTAGATAAATTTATATTTCATATATGATTAAATGTTATCTTATACAATAAATTGAATTCCATTCAATACTCATTGCTGATTCTACAAATATCTACAACTATTCAACCTTTATAATAATATAAAATACAACGATAAAATATTTATTTTAACTAATTTCCCATTTTTTTAATTTGATATAYCTTTAACTACGAAATATTAAAACCTTCATAAACTAATAAACAGAACTCTTTTTCCTTACAAAATTACATACCAACAACCTGCAATAAATAATTTTAATGCTTAAAAACGAAATTTGGTTAATATTAGAGTGCGAACAATTAGAGTGACCACAGTAAATCCGTGAAACTTTAGTAATACTAAATAGCACAATTTCATGCAAATTCCATTGTTTTCTATTGTTTAACAAGTACTCTTTTGTACTGTTTAGTAATTAGTGTTTCACGGATTTATTGTGGTCACCTAATCCGAGAAACACTAATTACTAAATAGTACAAAATAGTGCTAATCAAACAATAGAAAGCAATGGAATTTGCATGAAATTGTGCTATTTAGTATTACTAAAGATTCACGGTTATATTGTTTGCACTCTAACACCGATAGATTTTTATAGCTTTAATATATAATTTGTTTTACCATATAACGGTAGGAAAATATATTGGCTCAAATGTCCGGAAATCTTTCCGTTAATTATTGACTTTCCGATGAGTTATCGATTAACAGGAACATAAGCAACTTACGGAAGTCTTGCGATGAATTATTGATTTCTCTATGAGTTATCGATTAACAGGACATCATGAGGCAACGCACATTTGAGATTATATAATATGACTCCTTAAATAAATTTACGGAAATTTTGCGATGAATTATTGATTCCCCGAGTCATGGACAAACAGGAACAAAGGTTTCAATAGTTGAACGCATTAGTGGCGAACAGACTCATGTAGCTTTGGCAAAGAAATTTAGACGCTAACAAATATAAAAGCAAGAAACGATACTCAAGGGAATGACACGTGCTCTAAGGCCCTTGCTAAACGAGGAAACATGCTTCCCTAAATGTTTCCTAAGATGGCAAAACTGTCAGGAAACATCGGGAAACAATGTTTCCATGCGTCTTGGAAACATGAAATGTTTCTGCCGCACAGCAAAAACATTTTTTGCGTCTTGGAAGCAAAATTTGTTGCACGAAGCAATGTTTCGCATGTGGCTAAACTGGGAAATATTGAGGAAACATGCGCGTGGTAAACATGTTTCTGGAAACACCTTTCTTCGTTTAGCCAGGGCCTAAAACACGTAATGCTCAAGCATAGATTAATCGATAGTCCTTTAAACCGATACAGCGGCGATCTGGAAAATTCATAGACTTCACAGCTGTCGTAGTTACTCTTTATATAACCTTTTCAATGAGAATCACATCTAAAAACAAATTGAATTTGCTTGTAGTTGGAACAATTGATGAAATACCACTAATACCAAAACATAATCCCGCTTCCATGCTTTATAAATTTTCTACGTTTGCGCCCTCGACATCTCACAATTCAAGATGGCCGCTGCAACAGTAGAGACATCCATTTGCGCAAATGAAAATATAATTGGAATAGACCCCTTGCAACGCTTCGGAATGCAGCTCAATCTGGGGTACAAAACAATAGGTTCCAATTCTCAGGAATTCTCTTGTTTTGTTCCCCAAGATCAAGCTGCTTTGACGTCACATGCAAGGGGTCTATGAGTAAGTCTTCCTAACAAGGCTGACCAATCAACTGAGCTTCCCCATTTGGTGTTTCTTGAACATTTCAGAAGCTGTGAAAATACTAGAGTCTATGATACCCGCTACGGTGAATGTACCTCCAATAATGGCGCATACCTGTGTCGACAAAATCAGCATCAGTAAAAAATAGCGTGAATCCATACCAGTTATTGATTGGTTGCAAGCATTCCCAAGAGAGTTAAAGACAAAAACATGGCGGCCATTGTGGTACCGTTAACAATGGATGCTAATGAGAAATCTTTTGTTAAATGGTACCAACATGGCCGCGATGGCGTAACGTGCAAACGAAGAATAATGGTATAGATTTTTACACAAGTGAATATAATATATCCGGAGGTGAATATAAATCGCACGCTCACGTGTGCTGTTTGCGGGAGATAATTTTTAAAAAACTCGCGTCTCGGTAAATATTCCCCAATATTCACTTCGCCTTTTTGAATCCTAATTAAATTCCAGATCGTTGGTTTGATTTCTGCGTACGCCACATGTGAATAGAGCGTTTTCACGTGACGTCACAGCAGCCATCTTGGTGTACCAAAACGATACATTTTCTATCCTCTGTGAACTGAACTCAAATGTTATGCAAAAACTGTGCATAAGTTTCTATTGTTTGGTACGCTAATATGGCTGCCTTCTCACGTGAGTGAAAACGCACTATAGAGTTTGTTTAAGAGGAATCTTTTTCAATAACAAGCAATAATGGCAAAAAGCGCCAAAAACTAGATTTTCGTATGAGTTTTGATCCCAATTTTCGTTTTGGGTTAACACTCAAAACCTTTTTTAAACAGTTAGAAACTGATGTACTATGATAAAATGCCTGTTTGAAGCGGTATTTTCAATTGTACAAAGATGTTTTGTTGCATTTGTGTTACAGTAGAATGTTTCTTATATGTAGAAAATATATGGGAAATAAGCAAATGAAGGCCTTAACCTCATTCTCGAATAAAATTTTTGCTTTGGGTTAAAACTTTTATTCCACTTTCATCGGTCATCTCCACTTCCAAACAAGTTAAACTTTCTGAATAACAAGATTTTAGCCTTGTACAACACCCTTTCTCCAAGAAAATAGTTTTTGGCGCTCACTGCTAGAATACGAAAAGAATTCTCTCTTAATGTGTTTTTCTCTCTCTTGCCACGAGGGTTTTTCTCCTGGTTCTCTGGTTTTTCCCCCTCCGTAAAATTCAAAGTGTCGATCGAGAGCTGTTCGCATACAATATCAAATGTATGTGTGCAAAAGTTTCTGCCCAGCCGAACATTTCTTGCAACATTTTCCTTAAAAATGCTTGTTCGAATCATGTAAAAGATTCTTATATTTACARTATCAATAACAAATGTATGTGTGCAAAAGTTTCTGCCCAGCCGAACATTTCTTGCAAGATTTTCTTTAAAAATGCTTGTTTGAATCATGTAAAAGATTCTCAAATACTTACAGTAGTTATRAAGTGGTAGATAGGCTTTCGTCGCTCGATGTATTTGACGGTAATTGGGCTAAGATCATATCGGAACCAGATAGCTAAAATATCAGATAAATTCAATGAGAATTCACCTTTTAGGCGCTAGCCGTAACGGGGTATAAATTGTTTTAGATTGTGTTACTATCACCAAGAAGTTCGGACATTGTTCTCGGATTTCCGTACAAATGTACTGACTCTAAATGAACTATTTACTTGGTTAATGTTTATTTAGTTCTCTAAATACAAGTAAATAATCATTTTTCTAGCTTGATTGAAGCTTTTCTTACTGCTGTTAAGATAGCGAACTATAAAATCTGCCTAAATTTTCTCTTTAAAGTCAGTGATTTTGTATGGAAATCCGAGAACGATGTCCGAACTTTTTGGTGACCGTAACACAATCCAAGCTAGCGCCGAAAATGAGAATTATAAYCATTCAGCCTCTTTCTACGGTTTTCCATATTCTGCGAACTCACACATTTCAACGGCTTATTGTGAAATTGGTTTATCACTGCCGCCAGTCAAGAACATAAAAGGTACCGACTGATTATTTTTGATTGACGGCAGCAAATAACCATATTTCAGCGTGCAGCTCGTAACTATCGAGTTTGCAGAATATGGTAAACCACAGCAATATATAATATACCTACAAATAATAATAATATTGATAAATAAACACGTACCAGGTAATACAGAACCACCATGCGAATATGAGATGTAGTTCTACAGTAAGAGAAAAAGATGAAAAAGATGACTCCATATCGCTGCAAAAATGAATACCCCTTTATTTTATTTAATGTTTCCATTTTTTTGTTGTTTCAATTCTTTCCTTCCTTCATTTATTTTATTTTTCTTTCTTGTCCGTCCGTCCGTCTTTCCGTCCTTCCCTCCCTCCTTCCTCCCTCCCTTCCTCCCTTCCTCCCTTCCTACCCTCCTTTCACCGAATACAATACGTACCTTGTAGGCCCACGTGTACTGATACGAAAACTGTGTAGTGCCATCTAGCTTTTCATAAATAGTTGGAACGATCTTGAGGATGTAGTCATGGGAAGACAGTGCTGGAATATACCCAAAAAAATTCTCTTTAAACTTTCAAATGGTTTGTCAATGCAGATCAATATCTCTATAAATTCATAAGACTTTATTAAAAAAAACTTACCATTGCCATCTGTTTTATCCACACTTTTCAAAGCTGTGAAAACACCAGGAAGTTTGTCCTTAAATGTGGAAGAAAAACATGATTGAAATGAGAATGACCTTTGCTTAAGTGCAAAAAAGGTTGTAAAAACTACACGAGTATTTTTGTTGATAATGATGGTGATGTAGGTGATGATAACAATGATGACAGCGATGTACATAGATTATTACCATGATGTAGGTGATGATAATTATAATGACAGTGATGTTGCTGAAGATGATGATGATTTACTAGGTGATGATGGTCATGATGGCAGTGATGTTGATGATGGTGATGATGATGATGTACTAGATGATGATGATCATGATGACAGTGATGTTGATGATGATGGTGATCATGTACTACAGTGATGATGATAATGATGACAGTTGATGTCGATGATGCTGACTACAAAAATCCGAATCAGGAACTAAATATTAAGGACATATTCTTACCTCAATTTTTTCACCAAAGTTAAGTGAGTTGATAAGATGGCTCATGTCAGGGTCATCTGGCTGAAAATGTGCAAAAAATAAATAAACTGTTAGAAAGAACTTCTTTTCAAATCTCTCTCAGTTACAACAACAACAATTTTACAGTGCGAATCGAAAAACCGTGGGCACCTAGGAATATTCTAGGAATGTTCTATTGTTCTTTGGCCAATCAGGATTGACTTTCTAACCACAAGATAAGGGAAAGATAACAATAACACTTCTGATTGGCTATTGAACATTCTCCAAATATTTCTAGATGCCCATATGGTTTTTCGATTTGCACTGTAACAAACGAAAAGGAGGTAAATCATATACATCAGAAGAACCAGCCTTACTGTCATTCTACTCTAACTGTGAGCACTTGAGTTTGTCAAACAATCAAAGATTATAAATCGAAAACAATAGAATTCGAGTTACATGTTATTGTATTGAAAGTCTATAAAAGCTATTCAAGAAGATGAAAGAGAAAGAAAAAATAAATGTATATTGACACAAATAAAATAAAATAAACTCAAGTAATCACGGTTAGTTTAGAATGAAAGAAACATAGAGCACTCACTCCCTGGGGAGGGGGGGTACTCTTGCCCCTTTAGGGTAGGGATGTGCCGCTGAGCCCTCTGAACCCAGACCCTGTTCCAGAGTAAAATCACTGAAATTCATATTCTGTTCCAGAGCAAGATCGCTGAAAACCATAAACTTTTCCGGCATTGCGAAAATAGATACCCTGTTCTAGAGAGGAGAGAGCATGATTTCATATACCCTGTCCCAGAGGGAGTGCGATTTTATATGCCCTGTTCCAGAGTAGAATCGTTGAAAACCATACCCTGTTTGGCGGCACGTACACGTATAGCAAATATAGGGGAGTATCCCCCCTCCCCGGGCACTCCTTACACTTAGGAATTATAGCAACAATACAAAACAAATAGCAAAACCAGCAATTACCAAAAAAAAATCTAAGTAAAAAATGAAATTATCTATTAAATTTAATCTTCACACCTGTCTTCCAGCACCATGAGTTGATAAATGGAAATTTCCTGGAACCTTCAAAGAATGGGAAAACATTCACCATTATTCTACATGACTTGTATGTCTAAAAATTGTTAGCAAGGCTAAAAATAACATATTGCAGGCAATGGCCAAAATAGACCTTTTCTGAATTGGCTTGAGTGGCCAATGAAGCAGTAAATTCATCGTCACTCATTCTCATCCGAAAACCCTCRTCACAGACCTTTCTCACCAATAATCGAAGGCTCTGGCAACAYACAAACCAGGAGACATAGGCTTAGATTCTAGGTCATTAGATATGCACATTCTCCACTTATTCTGTCTTCCGGAATAAATTCAAACTGTTTTTTTTTCTTCAAAACAAAAACAATCAAGCTTATTTATACATTGTTTATGGAACAGTTATTTGACTGTGATTAACATTCTGAAAAAAATTAGCAATTTAGGTAGCGAGACCCTCATGTGTGCGGTAAAGTATTCAAATTTCTATTGTTGACTGTAAGATCAGCAAATCGGAAACTGAGATGATTATGCAAAAAATTTAAACCTATCAAATTAACAGTCGATTGTGTGTTACCAGAGCCTTCGATTTTTCGTTAGAAAGCCGGGAAGCCTTTGGGTACAAGAATGATGGTCACTCTGAAAGTGAATTCAGGAAAGCTATATTGGCACTTGTCTGGCCAAATAAAAGAAGGACTCAATAGCCAACAATGCTTTGCTTGTCACAAACAAAGGTTTCTGTAGGAAGGTACAGTATGTTAAGGGTACATTAGATAAATTAAATTTATTCTTATCTTCTGACACCAATTACTGTGCATTATGCACGAAGCCTGGCATTGAATCCTTTGTGCATGACAAACACATCTTGGAAGTGGGTGATTATACACTCAGCTAATTTTATAATTTTTTCAAAAAGTAGTTATTAACTACATTGTTTACATAAACAATACTATAAAATATACAGCTCCCAGAGTGTTTATATATCACAATCCAGAGACATAATTAAGCAGTCATTTCATATTGCTCTTGTGAAATATTTTTGGAAGTTTTTGCGCAAGGATGTCTCTGTCGTCTGACATAAACACAGTAGTCAGTCAATCAGCATGCCTGTTATATCTCAAATATTTCATAATCATGCTACTATTATACAAGATGAAATTAGATGGAATGCAAAGTTTCACCTTATTTATATTGAATTTTCCAAAGAAGTTGCACCCTCCTAGAAACCAACCAAACAACGAATCATTACAAGGCTGCAAATAATATTTGTCTTCTATTAGAGTATCATACTGTATGTCAGATCAGGGACAAGGGTTGATCTGACATGCAGGTAGTCTGGTCGGACAGAAGCTTCTATTAAATACTGCAGCCAGGGGCAGGGCAGGGCAGGCTTGTATTAGGTGAAGGTATAGTACTGTATTCGCATAAAACTGATACCACTCATGTACTACAATAAGCAGGTAACAACCGCTTGGATGCTATATATCCAAGAGTATGACAAAGACACAAAGACAATGTTACATTTATCTCACTTATTTACCACTTTTGGGTGCATGGACAACTTAATGCCTAATAGCTGGTTTTGCAACCCAAATGATAAGGCAGCCGATAGATCAAATTAGAATTTAGAGACTGAAGTGGATTTTTGTGGAGGGAGAAAAACCAGAGAACCCGGACTAAAAACTCTTGATGCACAGGAATGATCCAACAAACAACTCTACTGACATATGACAGCAAGCCAGCCAGTCACAAACACAGGTCGCACTGGTGCGAGGTGGCACATTAGCAGTGCAACACCACCCGTGCTCCATCACATGTTACATGTATATTGTCACCTATCAACTCACTAACAGTTTTCATTACCTCCGTCCTCAGTGGGTGTACGATCTATGTTCTCTTGAAATGCCACTTCGTGTCTCCCCATCTCATCTTGAATATCAAGCCCTAAAACTAGAAAAAATTGAATTCCAAAAAATATGTAAATTTGTTAAATGTTTTTTTTTTTTTTTGCATCACTTGGAATTTGCAAACTCTTACTTACATTCACATCTCATTCTTGGAAGCGTAAGGTTGAGTACTACTGGTAAATGTTCATTCTTTGGTGATGGATTATCAACAAATAGCTCACTAGCACTACAGTGTGAAAGCAAATAAAGATTACTGTACATCCTTAAATGGTTGAAAAACAATATTGTTGAAGAAACAGCATATTACAACAATGAAGAGAAACTATGCCTAACTAAACTAAGTGTTATCATCATGCAACATCATATTGTTATATCAACAAGTTTCAAAGTTTCAAACTGCCACCCGGCTAGCTCAATTGGTAAGAGTGTTGGTCTGTTGTTCGGGAGGTCGTTGTTCAAGCCTCGGCCGTCTTAACTGAGTAAATAACTGAGGAGAAGGTGCTACCTTCGTAATTACATCTGCAAATGGTTAGACCTTCACGTGGCTCGGATGATCACGTTAATGGCGGTCCCGTCCCTAATTAACTAGAGACGTTAACAGAGGACCACAAGTTTATCAGTTGAATTACTGTCAAGTGTTATCCTCTATAAACAAAGTTAATTATTATTATTATTATCATTATTATAAAATCCATTTTCTCTCTCTTCTCATTGGTCAAGAGGGTACCACATAATAGTCATAAAATTCAAATGTTTCCCAGCAACCGGACAGATAACATTTTAAGTTTATATTCCCTGAGAATAACAATACCAAAACTGATTTCCATGGAAATGTAAGTTTTTCCAAGTTTCAAAGTCAAATAATCAAAATATCAAACAACTGCTTTGTGTTCTTTGACACTTGGTATACAACAAAAGCTTATTGACCAGGACTGAGTAAAAAAGTGTGTTTCTCTGCTTCACCTCGGAAAACATCATCATCTTGAGACCACAAAACATACTGCTTTTTCTGTCTTATCCAATGAGTGTTAATTGATACATTGCAAGTTGCATAGCAAAGATTGCATAGCAAATTTTCTTTGTTGTGAAAACAAAGCATCTGTTAGAGTGCGAGGGTATGATACTGCACAACTTAACCTAAAATTACTCTGAATAAACCAGTTTCAAGTTCCAAATTAACACTGTGTTCCTTGATTACAGACTAAATTATCACAGGGCTTCAATTTTGCAGAATATTAACATGTGTTCCAGTGAAGGTTCAAGGCTAACCCTGTGTAAATGAGTCTGTAATCAAGGGACACAGCCGTCATTTGGAACTTGAAACTGGTCTATYACCCTATTTATCATTTTCTGTACTATTTGGCACTATTATGTTGAATTAAAATGTCCACACTTTTCTCTAATATTTCCATTCTTTCTTGTACTCTACCAGATGCTCTGTGAAAATTCAGGACAATCTAAAGGACTTACATTTCTGTCGTTACAAAGCTGTAAAATTCTGAGAGGAACAGGAATGACATGAACACACAACTAAGGATGGATACTAAAAGAAAGAAAAAATTCTGCATTGGTAAGAAAGGTTGAACTATGAAGACAATATCATATATTATGAGTTTGATAAATTCATGTTATCAAAGTGTAATTTGGCAGCATGGGTGGCGTATGCTGCTAACACGTCATCTTGCACCACGAAAGGTCTGGGTCACTGGTTCGAGCCCTGTGGACACCATATGTAAATAGTAGTTTGTTTGATGTGTTGTTCTATCCTACGTACAGTATGCTATGAGGGTTTTCTCCACGTTCTCCGGCTTTCTCCTTAAGAATCAGCATGTGAGTTGAGCATTGTGTGCATAGAACATCCAATTGCCCTACTTCACTATGACGTCACATCAAAACAATATTCAACAATCTATTGTTTAAAYGCAAAGGATAATGGTCGTCGGACGGGGTCAAATCAATGCAAACTAACCGAAAATTGTCCTAAAACCCGTATCAATCCACGAAGAGAAGTAGAATAGCCAGCAAATGCTCAGAATATTTTTTAGTACATATTAACACACATTATATCTGAAAACCAGGCCATTTTAGATTAAACTGTTTCGCTAGGAGCAAATTTAGTTGAATGTTCTATTGGATTCGTCGATTCTATCCCCAACATAAACAAGCAGTGACGTCATAGTAAATTAAGTCAATTTAGTGGTAGTGTGTGTGAGCGAAAAGTGTCCCCAATTAATGTGAAAGCGCTAGAATGACTAGACAGTTAAATAAAGATTTTTATTTTAATAACATGAAATTGATAACATTATAACCATGTTACTTTATGAATCTGCTTGCCATTGGAATTGGTTTAAAAGATATCAATGGTCAATTCTGCATAATTTCTGTGACTCGTCATTTCACTCATGTGAAGATTACTTCATAACTATGTATATAATATGTACTTACTAACAGCACCAGTATATGTTGGTTCTGTGAGGTCCTTAGGGACCTTTCTGTAGATATCAAACCTAGGAGAATTGAAATAATCTAAGTTTAATTGAATGTCTCTTTGAAATGTTATTGGAGAATTTGTTATTTTTAGGGGCAGTGAATGTTGCGTTCCAAAGAAAATGATTAATATGACTCAAAGTGACTTCCCCCCAGAGAGACTGCATTGGTTTATGTATGTGTTTAAGTTTATAACTTTCCCAAGCAGTATGACAACTGAATCAACTAAGATTAGAGACAGTGTTAAAATTGTTTTACTCCAGAAGTGGCATAAGCTTTATTATTTTGGCTTTCGTCAATGCACCAAATTTAGCAACAGGCATTTTTTCCTTGACAGGGAATTTTCCACTTTGCAGTTCCGTTCAGTGACCATGAATAATAGTTCCAAGCCAAGGTTGGAGCTGCCACACATGATACAAAAAGTATAGTATTGCTATGCACAGAAATTCTAACCTTGACCATAGTTAATAGAGTTAATAACTATGACTTGAGTTGGAACTATTATTTACGCTCAATAAAAAGTATAGTATTGCTATGCACAGAAATTCTAACCTTTACCATAGTTAATAGAGTAAATAACTATGACTTGACGTGGAACTATTATTTACGGTCAATGAATGGAATTATAAAATGGAGTACTATGCAGCTTATAAATAAATAAAGATTTGTGCCCGAAACAAAGAATCTTTGTATATATAAAGAGCTTTATTGTAGCTCTTTCATACACTCTATTTATACATTCGAACAGTGTCATAGACAAACATCATATAGAACAAGATGGGTAATCTTGCTGTTTATCAAGAACAAGATCTTTTGTAGCTTAACTATTGGAGAGCTACCCTTGATGAAAAATCTGAGCGTGTATAAGCTTGCATGATATATACGCTTAGATTTAAGATTAATCTTTCTTATTATAAGCTTATAACTTATGAATACTGTACTATCCTACTGTACTATAGGATCATTTTTCTCTATACATGAGGGGAGAATAGATATCAAAGTCGGGAATAAAACCATAGGAATAGATACCCTTTACCCATATCAAACAGTGAATAAATAAGCTTACTAGCAACCACTGATCGTCATTTCACAGTTTATAGGCATCAACAAAGTACAACCCCTTAGAGTTTTATAAGCATGCCTAATTTTCGTAATTTCACATGAAATCCCCCACTTCCAAAATTACTCTGAAAAAATTAATTTTTAAGCTCCGATATAAAAAAAAAAATAGCCAACCTACCTTCGGACGTCGAACTGCATTTTGGAGTCCAAGATCGAGCGATCAGAATTGAAAGAGTTGTTTAAAGGAGAGGAAAATAGGTTACAAGTTTGTTGTTATGGCTGCCATTGAAGGCAGTCACACGTGGTGTGCCGTGATTGGTTGGTTTTTGTATTATGGCGGGAATTGTGGGAAATACTATCAGCCTTGAATAAATTGCTTGGTAACAATGGTTACACGTGGAAAATGACCTCGGACAAAAGGAATAATTTTTTTGTTTCCGATTCTTTCTTTCTTGAATTTTTTTTCGATAAGGGATGAGGGCAAAACAATTGTCATCTCACGGTACCCGATTTAGGGGGGAGGGGTGGTGTTACCCGGTACACACCACCTCTGGAAATTAAATCTTAGATTTTGTCCCCAAATATCTCCAAAACTAAAAGCAAAATCACGGAAATGAATGGACTGTCTGTCTGCATGTATGCTAAAAAACATATTTGTATATAGAAATTGCCACTACAGACCCCAGCTCGAGCATTTAAACAGGTTGAGGGGGGAGGGGGTATATACCGGTACCCACCACCTTAATTCATAAAATGTCTAAAATCGGGTCCCCATTTTGGACCATTGTTTTGAGTCTTTATACTGAATTTGCGTTTTTCGGTTTTGTGGCCCATGAAGTTGGATGCGCACGCAACCTTGAGAAAACGGTAGAGAAGTGACCTCCCTCTACTCGACACCTGGAAGATCATGTTAATTACTGGATGCCAATCCAGGAATTTTTGAGGCACCCGTTCAAATTGGGGGTGGGGGGGGGGGGGAGGTATTGATGCTTTTTAGGGGTTGAAATTATATCAGTCACTTCCAATTTTAGGAGTGAAAAAGAAGCCGTTTGTTTTTAGCACGTGTGGTATCTTTTAGGGGTGCACGATTAGTTATCCCAAACATAATACCGGATGTCAGTTTTCAGTTACATACTTTCATGATCAGTGTATGTCAAATTTGAATCGGGGTGACACACATTGCAACAAAATCACACAGCATCGCTTGTGTCAGCCTGCTAGGTTAAGATATTTGGTCAGCAGTTATAAATTTGGTGCAAACTGATTGGCTGGAAATTTCAAAATGCTGCACGTAATGCTGCAGCCATGTTCACATGATGAAATTTGTTGCGCGCAATGTTGCAAGAGTAGAGCGCGATTCAACTTCAGATTTGTTGCATGCAACGTTGCGTGCAACAAGTTTGGAATAGACACAGTGCTGTTGCGTGCAATGTTGCGTGCAACAAGTTTGGAATAGACACAGTGCTGTTGCGTGCAATGTTGCACCGTGTGTCAGCTATCATTGTCGAGCGTTGCGTGAGGCGTCACTTAAGCTTTTTCCTTGAAATTATTGATTTCCTGGTCCCGGTTGAACGAAGCCTGAATAGCGCTATCCGACGGATAAATCCTTATCCAGTGGATAAATTCATTGGACAACCGGCATCGACTTATCCACTGGATAAGGATTTATCCGCCGGATAGCGCCATCCAGGCTTCCAGAAACACGATAACTAATTTTTTTTTTTTTTATTGCAATGGTAGACAGGTTTATATTTTTCGCTGCTCTAAATTTCGAAGGCAGGCTTCATGACACCTCTCGCTTTTGCAGTGACGTTATTTCTACGTCATTAGAGAGCTTAAGATTCTCGTTTACTGGCGGCAAACGTGAACCGTCAGTTGACGATTAAAAAATTCTTTAAAATTAGTGAAAAGGAATCGCAAAAATCTCCAAGTAGTAGATAAACAAAAGAATACTTGTCTTTGTCGAGAAGGTTTGCAAAAGGTAAAGTGAAATGTAGGGAAACCATGAAAACGTGGTCACGGTTGCCGTTTGCGGGAAGGAAAAACGGGAATCTGCCTATTATTTCAGATCAGCTGAACGAAGGAAAAAAAACTTATGGAAGGATAAATATATGAATGAATGAATGAATTAGTAAATGAATAAATGGATGTATGAATCGAAATAAACTGACAAATAAATTAAAATAAACAAACGCACAAACAAACCCAGTTATCAGGGAAAATACTAACTCATAATTCGTTCAATTTTCAAAGTATTTATTGTCTTTCACTTTTTCAAATATATTTTCATGCCTTCATTTAGACAAGGAAGTCAAATTTAAAAATCTCGTATTAACCTTTTGCTTTTGCATTATTTACAAAACAATTTTTTTCAAGTTCATATATCTATGTATAATATTATTTACAATTTCATTGTATGATATATAAAGGCTGTTTTCAAATATCAAGTTAGCTGAATTATTATTGTGGAAGTTATTCTTCATTGTTTTAGCTAAAGAGGAAATTTTTTTCAGCAATGAGCAATAATGGCAAAAAGCGCCAAAAACTAGTCTTTCGTTTGAGTTTTGATCCAAATTTTCGTTTTGGGTTAACACTCAAAACCTTTTTTAAACAGTTAGAAACTAATGTACTATGACGATAAAAGGCTGTTTGAAGCACTTTCTGAATAACAAGATTTTAGCCTTGTACAACAGCCTTTCTTCAAGAAAATAGTTTTTGGCGCTCACTGCTTGAATACGAAAAGAATTCTCTATTAATATCTAATGTAATATCAGTTATTTCAAAATGGGCTATCTTGTGTGAATCTAGTAAAGGACGACTCAAGCTTTTCCTACATATTACGAAGTTTCTATCATTGAATTGCATGGGAAAAAAATCTAGGCTAGACCGAATAACTTTCTTCGCTTTTGACCAAAACTTTAATCATTTGCTCTGCAGTACTTTCACATTCATATTTTTTCGAAATACTCTTCTCGAGGCAATAGTCTACGAAAAAGCGTATAAAAATACAGCAAAGGTTTAAAAAGAATTAGTAAATAACGCTTGATTTTGCCTATTCTTTTGATCAATTTTTCAAAAAATATTGATATAATATTTACGTAGAAATTTCAGAATTTTAAAATGCTAAAAAGGAGGGTTATTTTATTGAGAAATGGCGCTTTGAATATTTTGTAAACTCTATTTGAAATTGCAGCCAATATATTTTTCTTCATAAAACTTTAACTATGTACAAATATATATTTTTGTGTTATATTTTTCGTGTTTTTAAATATAAAAAAAGGTTAAAATTGGATTATATATAAAGATATTTATATCGGTGTCGTCACAAGTCCTGGACTTCGGCTACTTGGAACAATCTCAGATCCACACGGAAGAGAAGAAAAATTAAAAAATCCGTAGTTACTATTCGCTACTGGCGTCTTCAACTCATCCACTCTCCGCGCTGGTTGGTTCGCAGACTCCCATTTCAATAATTGTCCCATAAAATTGAAATTCGGTGAGATAATCGAACGACGCTTTTTGACGAACTCGTACGCCTCGTCCAGTCGGAATCGAAGCCTACCGATGAGATACGCAAGGCAAATCGTAGCTGATCTTGATATTCCTGCTTGGCAATGCACAAGTACACGTCCACCGGAGTTTTTGACGCTATCTGCAATAAAATCGAAAGAGCAATAAGTTCCCTTGCTAACATTACAGTAATAGATCAAGCAAAAGTAGCCTTCCACCCCAAAATATATCCAATATATACACTTAAAACATGTTTTAATATTTAACAAAAAAACAAAACAAAAACCAAAAAAATCATGAGGATTGGTCGTGTATATAGGAGCACCAAACTTGTTTTGAAATATAATCCGTGTAAATCTATCCATCACATCCTGGAATTAAATTTCTATAGTACAAGCACATGTCGACAAAGTGTTATGCCCTCAGGCCATTTTCTATTTTATCAGGAACTATATAGAGCTTTATTTCAACAAATTCCCCCTCCTCTGACTTGATTACAGTTTTATCCACGTCTTTATGAAACCTTTTTTAAGTGGTTGAACTATTTGATAAAGTAAAATTGTATTTTGTTCCTACGCGTACGCTCCGCCTTGCCAGCTGTGTGTTGCCCGCGATTTAGTCATACCTAAAAATAACTCTTCGAGTCACATGGAATACGAAATGTTGTTGTTTTCTTTTTCTTACCTATGAATTGAGCAGTTTCTTCAAACCAGCTTTCTATATCTGCATTATAAGTATCGTCTACGGGGATGTTTTTATACTCAAATGATCCTTGGAAGTAATTTGGGATGTTTCTCGAGATATTCATAATTGTAGTGATACCCAAACGTTGTAGAAGATCAATCCTAGAGGCATGCACCTCGCTTCCCAAATAAAGATAAGGCAAGATCTCTACGGGTTCGTTTTCATTGTCTTCTTTACAAGGATATTTTTCTTTCTTGGGGTCATTTTCGAAGYGAGGGCTGAATGTCTTTCGTGCATCTCCGCTTTTTAGCTTTAGCGCCAGTGGGCTTGTTTGAGACGATGAATAGTGATGAGGCTTGACGAACTCGCACATGGATGGGTATAACGAAGAAAAGCGTTGAAATCCTCCTGTAAAAATTCAAAAAAGACGATTAAATTCCAAAAATACTTAAATATGAACTGTAGTGTTTACAAAGAGTTATATAAACAGTTATCAAGCTAGTAGCAGTTAAGCAAGGACGCTTCATTTCAAAAAATATATCAGAAAAAGAAAAAAGGATGTTTCCATTGTGTTAAAGTAACACGAGGTCGGATTTTTACTTCAAATTTAAAAAGAACTCTAAAAAAGAATCATTTTATACTTACTCGGTGACCAAAATAGGAAGCTAATGCTCAAAAAAGTTTTCTTAAAGTTGTATTTTGACGTTTAGAACTGTACTTCTCAACTGAATCGCATACATAAACTATGCTCTCTCGTTTTGGACGCGAATGATGTCATGAATGGACTCTTGTGCCCACAACTACAATTAGCATTTGAACAAAGACTAGACTACGATCAACTCATTATGCACCATCCGCTTGCACGCGCCGAGGGTTGGGGGAAATAAGTCATTATTCGTCCACGTCATTTAATCAAATGCGAAACTAAAGGCTGTGAGTAATATTTTATTAAGATTCTTGTCTGACCTGTTTTCTTTCGAAGGCTTATACTCATTCCAATGAACTCGGAAAAAATGGCGGGAAAAAAAGTGGGCGGAAATAAGACGACAATGAATCAAAAGCGAAAACTTATTCAATTGAACTGGGGGRAAAATGGTGGGAAAATAATTTGAGGAAATAAGTATTGGCGTCATTGAACCGAAACCAAAGCCTAAACGTTTTGAGTAATATTTTATGAAGATTGTTAGAAGTCACGCTTTCTCTCGAAGCTTTATCCTCAATCTCATTTATTCACAAAAATGGCGGGGGAAATGTGACGAAACAAAAGCGCGCACGCGCAACATTAAAAACATCTCAAAAACTAAAAACACTTTTTTTCTTTGTCCTATATCCTTAACAACAATAAAGTTAAAATTATTTGTATCAAAATAATTTATATTTTTATTATTGGTTTTCAGAGTATTGGAAAATAGGGTTGTAATGACTACTTGATACTGTGTCTCGCCACGTTTGTCTTTCCACTTTCGACGTGTCAGATAGGCTCGAGTTGTTTAGACTAGAAAGGTGATCATACGATAATTATTCTTGAAAAAGAACAATAGACCAAGCTAAAAGGGACTTTTATTTAAGAGAACGATACCTCTTTGATAAAACTGTCATTTTGAAAGTATTTACTTTGATTTTAGACTTTGATGTTGTAAAAACAATTCGTTTAAACACAAGAAAAGAAAAGAAAAGAAAAGAAAAGAAAAGAAAGAAAGTGAATAAAAAAATTTCAATCGCAAAGTTTTTTTTAGCTTAAAATTATTTTCTTCGGCCTAAATAAGCTTTTCATAGGTTTGAGAACGATCCTCGTATTATTATTTAAATAAGCTGTAACAGTTACAATGTTTTCTAAACTTATCTTGTTTCTGTTTTCGAAAATAGAATTGAGTGATCATCAACGGACATCCGAAAACACCACAAAATATTACTATTTATCTGACAACGTTTCCCCACTAAGGAAATGATGAAGTCTTTGGTTAAAAGCGAAATATTGTGAACAGACCAAAACCTGAATCGAGGTTTGAAATCGGATTTTTTACACCACGCCTATTGCACGTGCCAGAAGCGAGGAAAAAATCAAAAATCTTTTATTCTTTAGTGTTTTGATTGAATTTGGAGTACAGTTTATACAGCGTGGGCGGTAGAGAGTCGAATCAAAGTTAATGACTGTTGAATTTGTAACGAAATTTGTAGACCAATGTATCGTTCCAAAGAATGGGCCGTTATATTGATCTATTGAAGCAAAAACATAAAATGGCGCGAAACTCGTTGCACGTTTACAAACAACGAACAATGGCCTGGTGGCAAACAGGCCATTGTGAAAATATCCCGCCATTCGAGACAAAGGCGCCGATTCATTCATTCATCGAGAGATCTGAAGCGATTATGTACATAAAATTAAAACATCCCTTTGTGAAAGTTGTCGTGATGTGTTTACGAGCCCAGAACGGTCTTACGACTCTAATGAAATATGGCACTTGTATTCGTAGAACTGAAGTATTATTTCAAGGTTATCAAAATTCTTTTAGTTTTTATCACATGGACAGAGTAACCCCTATTTGCCATTTATGCTAGTCAAGTCTCCTTGTTTGCACGTGGCAGTACTCCAGTACAATTTTCACAATAGACAAGAATCTCTAGTACTACTACGTATAAACGCTATTATTAAACTGTCTATATTCTTAAGTTTTCTTAAAAATAGAAAATTCATACTAACCTTTAAGGAAAAAGTGCTTGGATCTTTTTCTTTCTCTTCGTAGTAGTGTAGCAACTATTTTGATAGTTGTATCCGGCTCAAGTTCGTTCCAATTAAAAGTTTCTTCATCGTAATAAATCAAAGTTTCTGCTTCGTCTATGGCGAGTTTCGATTCCGGACAAGTCAATAAACTTGATAAAGTCGCACTACCTCGTTGTAATCGTCTTTTAAGTATCGGGGGGCAGTGGATATTGAGTGAGTCCTTAATGTGGGCCACGTTATAGGCCAAAAACGAACGGCAGTCTACAAAAATGCAGCGATGTGGTTTGGTACGGGCCAAGTTGAGGGATGTGAGAGGCGAGATTTGTATTACATCCTCGGAATCCATCGCCACCATTTTGATTCCACCAAATACGCGGGCCGTGTTGAGGTTTTTCTCTTTACAATGGATTTTTCTGTAGTAAAAAAAACCCTGAATTAATATGTGTTTTAAATTGTCTCACACGCTCGAGCCAGTTAACGTGCTATAAGCTACATGCGCTAATGTTTACATCTCGTTCCACGGCGTTTTATAGCCCCTAAACCAACCTCGTGACAAAATATTCTATTTTTACATCCAAAACAGTTGTACGTCACGATATAGGCGTGATTTCACCCATGTGACATTTTTTCGTATTTTGAATGATTCGATCACTGAAAACAATACTCTCTCGTTCCTTTTATGGAAATGACAGGTTAAACACCAATCGGATACAGCCATGAAACATTGGATCTGCGACAGGCTATTTCAAATGACGTAATAGTGTTCAAAGATCGTCAAAAAAATCTCTGAAACAAACCCTCGTAAAATAGCAAAAATGTCTGTAACGTACAGTAAAATATTCACTCTATGATGTAATGACTATTGGCAAAGTTATTTTCTACAAATTTTAAGTAAAAATATTAGAAATTTTAAGAAGAACTTCAGCATTTTAACCAATGCAACTCAAATATGGTAGGCAACTTAATAAGAGTAATCCAGCACCGCTCGATAGCTGGATTTTCATTGCTCCCTAAGTACAGTACCACTTTTGTAAGGTTAGATTTAGTGAGAATCCATGGCAATATCTATAGCCATTCTTTAACATAAAATAAAAGTTATTTGAGATATGAAATTTGTAAGTCCATCAGAAATGTTAACAGTATTATGTTAATCGGGTCACGTAAGCATATAACTATATGCATACTTAAACTATGACTTGGCAGTATTCTCGGCTATGTTTATGTTTATTAAATAAGCTTTAGAGACCTAGCTAGTGACTGTAAAATCACTTCTAAGTGGAATGTTTTGAATACCGCTTTAACAAAAATAACTCGATCTCTACAAAGTCATTTGCTTATTAGTATTTCCAGTGGGAAAAAATAGACTAAAGTCTGACAAAATTGGTGATACTGAAAGAAACACGCTATCGAATAACGGTTCATAAAATATATTGTTTTTATTTTTTACTTCATAAACAAATAAAAAAAAAGTCACGAAAACATTGAAAGCCAGTTTTAAAAAGCTGTTTTTGATACTCAGGCTGAAAAAGCTTTCTTTGCACTGTAAATATTATGGATACGAGCCTCCTTGTTAAGCTTTACAGCTTTGCTTAGTGGCAAATGTTTAGTCAAATATGTTTAAACTTTTAAAAAAAAAAAAATTAAAAAAAGCTTTAGCAATTCGCGATCTAAATCTATGATTTTCATAGTAAATTGCACAAAATTCAATTTTTAAACCAGGGCGCAACACATAATCAGAAAATGAATATATATTTTCATAAAAATACTTGTTACTTTGCTACTTTTTTAATAGACCTTTCCGCTTCAGCCTTCATAAGGTGAGCAGAAAGGAAAAAATACTGATAAAATATCATTAGATTGAAACTCATATTTTTGTCAAGATAGAAATATTTTTACATTTCATGCCCACCTTATTGAGCTACGTTATTTGGGTGCAGTACGGGTGGATATATATTTTAAACTTCGAGTTCGAGTATTTTGTCGAGCCTGTCAGGGCGATAAGATACTATGAAGAAGAGAAGAAATATCCACTCTACTACACCCTAAAATGTCCAATAATTTATTTATTCGACTATTTTTTGTGACTAAAGATGGCACGTGACTGTCATTGATTGTCGCAAGATATTACAAAATTACAAAATATACAAACATGTTGTAGCAGGAAAGCACGTAAAATAGGCTAGGCAATAGTGGAATTTCCTAATTAATCGGCTATTTTATACTTTTTGGGGACACATGGTTAGCGCTAACCATGGCTAGCGTCTGTTGATTACAGACGAAACGCGTCGGAGTAATAAAAGTTTAAAAAACCTAAGGAAAGATCAGTTGTTCATTTGTGCTGCTCACCTGTACACAACATTTTTTTTTTACATTTATTTAAAAAATTGTTTAAAAAAAATTGGGCTATAGCCCCCAGTTTCCTCTCTGCAAAACAGTAGTACCGTTCGTTCCCAAATTGTTGAGGCTAAATTTTTGTTGAAGTTGAAGAGGAATTTTGTGTTGAAGTTGGGCGATATAAGGTATTGATTTTGGCATTAACTTGAGGTTGAAGCGATTGTGAGATGTCGAATTTGAATGAGATTTTGTGTTGACCACGAAAAAAATATTGTTTCGATATACATGTAAAGGACAACTCCTCAATTCATTCTTTCTTTTATTAATTAGCTTATTTACATTCATAATATCATATTTTTATGGTTTAATCCTAGTTA